GTCAACCAACAACCCGCTTAAACGACAACTCGATAAATGTCTGCCGTGGGATCGCGTTGATTTTCGTGCGTAAAACGCGCCGATGTAGATGAGTTTATTATAGAGGCAAATACGTAATGCGTATTCGACACTAATTATTCAAAATCACCAGCCGTTGCTTTATACATGGGAACCTTTTGAACAAGTTAACGTTTAATCATGCTTACCAAGTCTAAATACGTAGCGCCATAAAGGTCTGACTACTTACAGGGGCCAATATCTGAGTTGTTACATATTACTCTTTATAAAACATAAATATTAACTAAAATTACATAGAGACAAAGAAAATCTAAGAAGTATTCTTAATCAATTATCTTTTGCGATGTCTTGTTGAGATAAAAATCGAATCAATCCATTTGCATTTTCTCAAATATTTTTCACAAATAATGAAAAACTAACTTAGTTTATTGTAACGTAATTTCTTTCAACAACTGAGCAATTTTCAAACTTTAATTCGCTTCGATATTAGTATAGATAAAAGTTCATTGTGACTATAGCTTCATTTATCTGTAAAACATACGTACGTGTTCTCCAATGCGGAAAAACCGCGGGATTTGATTTAGGGACACGCCAAAGCAATTACGAGTGCGCGTTTCACGAGACGTCTTCTCGCGCGCGACCCCTTACGAGGCATAAAAGGTTGCGGAGAGGGTTCACTTGGAGGGGTAAAGTTTGGCTTTGTGCAGGGTCGCGGCGGCGTTGAAGCCGACAAAAGATAAGCCGTTATTTATAACCCGGCTTAAGGACTGCCGTGAGAGACGCGGGGGACGAGTTTAGAGAAAATAAAATTACTTCGAAATCGCAAATCCGCGTACATGATATCCCACATGTCCTCGTCCACCTGTGTCACAGAATAGATAGAATAATACGTGAAAGGGAGAATTATTCTCGTAATGCGCCCACCAAATACAAATAAACGCACATTCTAAATTTTTATTGATAATAAAATCCTTTCTTCTCCTATCTTTAAAACAACTATTTTAAATCTAAAGGCACATAATTGCTAAACAAATTGAAAAAAATTTTAATTCTATTTGCTTATTCGTTTACTATTCATAATATTCGTTAAAGGCAAATTTTAATTTTAAATATGGCACAAGTGAATCTTACTATACTTTTCCTTTTTTACTTCAATTAATATAATTTATTAATATTATAAAATTTTTTTTCTACGTGTTTCAAAGATCTAAATCAAATTCATTTGAATTTTTCCGATTCTTTTAAACTCTTCCATCGTACGCCGCTTTCAGCAAGCCATATTCCGGTCATCGACGCGGCCATCGATACCACCCTCTGTACAGAGGGTGTCGCGGCGGGTGTGTACCGCGAAGCAACGAAGTTCATTCCATCGCTCTCGCTTCTTCCCTAAAAACGCACCCCACCACCATCCACTCACCTACTCAACTCCCCTTTCGTTCGCTCCGAGCCATCGGAGCGTAGTCCGAAGATCCGAGCGCAGACGGCGGAGATACCTAAAGATCCGTCTTCGACGTTACGCCGCTGGTGGCGGTTGGGGGTGGCGGACAGGGGCGTCGCCAGCGGGACGCCGCCGCCGTTGGCGGGGGGCGGTGGAGACGCGCGGGGACCGTGTGGAGGGTCGAAGCTTCGAGTCTGCAGAGCCGTGTGCAGCCTCCCTCCTCATCCGCCGGGTGTGGGTGGTTGGGTGGTGTGGCACCGGCTCCTCGAACTGATCAATACCTGAAACACCGCGAGGTATCGTCCCGCTATTTCCGGTGTCCCAGCGCGGCCGGAAATGAAGGCGTTAAAAATATACTCCAGATAGCGCGCGCCGGTATTATATCCTCTCCGGTACAGGTGCCCTCAATAGTGACGAAGGGACCGACGGCGAACCGTTTCGCGAAGAACGTCGACCGGGACGAGTACTGTCAGCTTGTGACCGAGGTAAAAGAAAGCTAAAGTAAGTAACCGAAACTGCCCTAAACTATTCTATCATATGTGACGAGATAGAGAAATATCATGAAAAAAAGTCTACATTATAGAAAAATTAGATAATTGTTATTTTCCTTTAATTGTTGTGAAAAAAAAAGTTATTTCTTCAATATTAGGATTTAAGACTTTTGAATTTATCTCTTTTAATGCAACAAAATTCGATTTGTTACATCAAGTTCTCCATAATTTTTAATTTTCTTTATTAGATTTCTTCCTATATGTATTTATGTTTTACGTAATTTTGTCAATTATCTCAACATATAATCATAAAAGTTACAAACTGTACATTGATACGAAACTACGGTCATGTTTTTACTTAAAATTATCTTATTTATTTTGCTGATTTCGAGGTTTCGACCAATCAGATGATCGTTATTGGCACGTACTGTACGTTCGCGCGGGCAAAGGCTTTTTATCTGCGAGGGCCTGGCCTGATCGACTTTTAATTATAGCTATCTGCTACCTGGTTTGCTAGTGTTCGGCGCGCAAGAGTGAGCGCGAGAAATCGGCATGAGATGATCGATCTCGAAGCCATTCTCGCGGCTGGAATCTTCATTTCGTGGCGGTAACTGCATCTAACATGAATTCGATATTGCGTGAATATTCACAACCGCTATCGCAAACCCAATTGTATAGATTAAAATACGAGGTACAGCTAAAAGAAAGTTCGAAAGTTCTATTATAAAACATGTAATTACAAGGGATTGATGCAACACAAATAAAATGAATACAAGGAATTAATTTTAAATTATCATACTTATATAGCTATCAAACAAGTTAATTATTATTAAATCGTGAGTAACAATTATCTATCATCTAATTCTGTTTAACTTAAACTCTGTTTAACTCGAATGATTAAGCGATCATTATACATAATAATAATTATGTTATTCTATTAAGAATAAGAGCAACAAATTAATTCAAATAAGTCCACTTGTTAGAAAATTTTATCTCTAATTTTAATCTCGTAAAAATATAATTTTGCAGACAAGAAAATCCATATTCCATTTTTTTTTTACAATGATACCATAAAATGGCGCATAAAAAAAGATTGTTCCGGGAAAATTACGGATCTGTTGAGTTTGAGGGCGTGACCACGAGTGCAACGGTGAACTCTGGATTTGCGAAATCGCAGCGAAGGGGTTGGTTTAATATCAACAGGTAGAACACGTTCTCTTCCCCTCTGGATAAGCTCAGAGCTAAGCGCCGGCGCTAGCTAAACCTCTCGCACCCTCCCGAGGGTGTGACCTGCCCTCGCTATTGGCTCGACCGGACGTGTGAAAAAGAGAACGAGTCTGTCCTGCGCGGATAAGGTCTTTTTAAATCCCTCTCTCTGGAGGGGTGGAGCTTTCAGCCGAGCTTTCTCATTGTAATTTGTATAAATTATCGCGAATCTTTTAGCTTTTTCTATACAAATGCGCGATTAAGTCCCTAGGTGATTTTGATGTTAAATTAATTTACTGATTAACTCTTTCTTGATGTTTTTCTATTAATAATCGTACGTTAAAAGTGCAATTAATATGTTATTGTCTTGTATTTTTACATTAAAATGTCGATATTATTATTTTTTCCTACTGGAATCTACTTATTTCTTATTACTACAATAAAAGTTTTTTGATGATTGATAAAAGTTTTAGGTGCAAGTTTCTCCTTCTCAGATTATCGAAATCTATTCTTTTTTTTAAATATTTAAAACACAAATCATGAATTTAACGATTGAAGATTTAGCTTCTCGGGAAGGTTTCTTGAAGTTAAGATTTAATTTGTCATTTATAAATATTAAACTTTTTATTATAAAACTTAATTTGCGAAACTATAGGCAATCCATGTTAGACTCGATAATCGCACCAGCGTGTATATTACGCGAAAAAATGGCACATAAATATAACGAATTTCTATATCGGATCTAATCCCTACGTTGGATGTCGCATCGGAGAGAAGAAGCCACAGATGCGATCCTGTCGGATCGACAAAAACGATGAAGAAAGATCGTAATGCGACGACAGCGGGACGAGAGGAGTAGGAGAAAATATCCGCATGGGTCAGCCGAGAGAGGCTTAGACTACGGGAGATGCCCGCTTCAATATCGGCTTTCCGGATACTTGAGATATTTATCTAATGTCTTACATTTTCCGCGGCGCTGCCCATTCAGATTTCCATTCATGTCTCCTTCGCGGAAAACCTGTTTCTCTGGATTGCCGCTCTCGACGAAGCGCTTCGACTTACGTCAAAGCTCGTTAAAATATCCACGTCTCAATAATTTAGCGTAGCTAATACCAATAGCAAAAAATTGATGATATTAAAATTCAAGCAAGTTATGAAACACGTAATAAGTTCAAATCGATCAAATCAAAATTAACCGCGTCTTTCAATCGATTAATTAATAATCGTACATAGAGCTTGTCGGGTAATTAATATTACTAATTCCATTAAATTATTAATTGTACAATAAATACATATAAATATATATATATATATATATATATACGCGTACGATACAAAGTGTTAATAAAGCAACTCTCAACAGATCGATTCGTAATCATTGTCGGCATCAACAAATAAAGTATCTCGGGTGTGATGCATCTTGCTGTATAGCTGCACAAATCATCGTGCAGCTACTTGCAGGTGCACTCTATCTTTATCCGACACTCTTTTTTCGTTTCTTCTGTACGGAATAACGCGGTCGACACCTCGACACGACCGTCTGATTATCTTACCGAGATATCGTGCGACGTACCCTGGGTTACTTATCAAAGATAACTACCAGCTCAGTGCTCTTAGCACGGTTCGCAGAACCGGTACGCTCGATCATCGATTCACGACGAAGGATTTTCGAGGACGTTCAATTTTATCCTCTCATAGCTTTCGACGTGCGTAACGAATATTTTCACGTCGACAATGCGCGATCAAGAATCTGCAAATATCATCCTGATAACGGCCGCAAATTGAACCGAGAATGTGAGTTACGCACGATTATTCGCTCTGACTCGCCCCGATGATATGAAAGAAACATGGAGGAACGGTCGATGATACATCGCGGCGTGTTCTTCCTGTTACTGATCACATGGCTGACAATTCTGTCAATCGCGAGGTGTCAAAGTGTTTGTCCTGCTAGATGTTTGTGTTATCTCAGCCAAATACCTAAAAGAATCGAATGTTCGAAGCAACAATTACTGGTATTTCCCAAAAATATTAGTGATGTAGTGAGTATATTACGATGAATAATGAGTCTTTTTCTTCATTGAATTTTTGTTATAAAATTGTTTGTTTTGTAATGAATGCATACAGGCATGCAATTAATTTATTACATCTTATCGCATCTGTAAAATAAAATAAAACAATAGTGTATCGATAACAGAAATATACTTGATGAGAAATGAAAAAGATATAATCGAGATAATTGAATCACTGTAATCGATAATTTACTTTATTTTGACAAGTACATTATTCTAGATTATTATTAACACATAATAAATGTGTTTAGTTATTGACTAAAATTAATTCTTCTGTGACAGGTAGAGCACCTGGATCTATCGGGTAATTTTTTAAGTAAGATCACCGATGAAATTAATCGATTGACCGAGCTACAGTACCTGAATCTGGCCAGGAATCAGCTTACTTCCCTACCAAATAATCTTGAGAAATTGCAAAAGCTTCGTACAGTAGATCTATCAGACAACAGTATCGTAAATACGGCAGATATTGCTTCCATTAGCCAGCTACCATCTCTGACAGTTCTATACATCTCAAGGAATCTATTAACCGACTTGAAAGGGCTAACCAGCGACATGCTTCAGGCACTAGATGCCGGCCATTGCCGTGTGTATCAAAATGGTCATAAGTTGAAAATTTATTAGGGATTTGTAAAGAATTCTTAAAGGCAATTTTTAAAGATACATATGTCAAAATATCAATTTTGTTTAGGAAATATATTAATTATATATTATATGTTGTATTATAATAATAATTAATATAAATATAAAAAAAAATAAAATATATTTATCCATATGTTATATTTCTCCATATTCTAATCTAACAGTATTTTTTAATATAAATTTTTGCTCATATAAAAGTTGATCTATTTTACACCTATTTTACATATTAATATATATATATATATATATATATATATGTAAAATTTCTTAGAATTTAACAAATATATGTGTGTATATATATATAAATTTAAGAAAAATTTCATATGTTTTAGGTATAATAGAATTCGGTAACTCATCCTTGAATGGATTGTCAGCGCTGACAACTCTGAATCTCGCGGGAAATCCGCTGAAGAGTATTCAAATGCCCGTCAGCGAGACACTGCGATGGTTAGATATGTCTGACTGCGTTCTAAATTATCTCAATCCAGACACTTTTAGCAGACTTCCCGAATTGGAGGAGCTACGATTAGTCAATAATCCCAAATTAGCATATAGCACTCGGTAAATTTGATATATTACAATTACTTGATTACACACTTAATTACAACTTTAATTTGGACCAAAAAAGAACTATTAAAATAGCCAATAACAAATACAATTGATAGATTTTATTGAATAAAAATGATAATAAATTTAATAACAATTTATAATAAGAATTTTGTGTATAATAAAACATATCACTTATTTATAGATACTCAACTTTACAGCATCCGAAGTTAAAGAGACTGGACGTATCAAGATGTAATCTTGATCGACCTGGTCTTCATGGTTTCCCATCGTTGATGCAAGCTCGTCTCTCTCGTAACGCGATTCACATGTTACCAGATCGTATTTTCGCCAAAAACAAGCAGCTGACGCACTTGTATCTGAATGCGAACAACTTAGAGCGAGTGAATGCCAGCACTTTCGAAGGTCTGGTGAAGCTTCAGGTGCTGGATTTGTCCGCAAACAATCTTGGAGAAGTTCACAGAATAGCATTCCAGGATAATATCGATCTCAGGATCTTGAATCTTTCCTACAACTCTCTACGCCGATTCCCGGATTTGTCGTCTCTCGTTACGTCGATGGATCTATCTTTCAATCTAATCAATCACTTCAATGAGAATTCACTAGAAGATATGCCCAGAATCAGAAGTCTGAATTTAAAAGATAATCATCTACAATCATTACCACGCGGCTTAAAATCGAGAACATTGAAAATACTGGATGTGCAAAGAAACAGACTTGTTGAGCTTCACAACGATAGCTTTAATGGATTGCCATCGTTACAAAAAATTGATTTGTCAGGTATATATTAATCCTTGAATTATTTGCAAGAATAAAAAACAATCAGAAAACAATCAAGAAAAAAAAATGTAATATAACTAAAACTTGATTATTAATAATATAATGAGATAATAAAAAACAAGATTAATTTTTTAGAATATTTTAATTAAAAATCTTATTTAAAATATTAATAATATTATTTTCGAACAGATTCAAAAATTGATAATTATAAGTTTTAATTAATTAATTTCCTTTTGCAACTTCTTTAATTATATTTTTAATTCATAGGAAATCGCTTGACGGAGGCAATGGATCCCGACATATTTCGAAACAATTTAGATTTGACCATAGTTCGTTTAGAAGATAATCCATGGAGATGCGATTGCACGCAGCTCTATGTCACCTTTGAATTCTTAACAGAACCTCCCGCGAAAACTATGGGATCAAGCTTGATTTGTCAAAGTCCGGCAAACGTTTCCGGTTATTCGTGGGAAGTGGCCTGTTTCGACGCATGGAACACTGACTTGTATTATAATAAAGACAGAACTTGGGGGATGGTAATGATCTGCTTACTCATCCTGGTTGTTCTGTGTGGCAGCGTGGTGTCGATTAAACATACGTTGAAGATAAAGAGAAGAATTCTCGAACAGAGGCAACAAATAGAATCAGCAGAAGAGAGAGAAAGATTACGATTTTTGCAAAGAAGGTAAAGAAATTTGCAGACAATTAATTGTCAAATTTTTCTATATATATAGTAGAAGTATTTTCAGATATATTTTGAGCATATATATATATATATATATATATATATATATATATATGTCAAAATATATCTGAAAATACTTCGCATTGCGTCACTTAGATAAAATCGATATACCGATAATGAACTCACGTGAACTCAAACTTTATTTGATGACTGATGTGAATAAACAGTATTAATATTTTAATGATTTAATATTCGCATTGCATTTACAATATTTTATATATATTTTTAATATGAATAAAATTATTAAGAAAATGTACGTGTGGAGAGAAGATGGACACATTTTCCTGCAACAGATAAGACAGATACCTATCTAAGGACACAGAGTTACGTTATAATTTCGTAAGGTGGTACATTATTCATCTGCCCAAAAATGATATCAGAGAACGCGTTACCGACACAATCATGTTTTCAAAATTAAGATGAAGTTTATTAAATAAATTATCACAAGAATTTTTCAATTATCTTTTAAAATCTAAATTATATTATACCTATATTGTTTCCATCTACAAAACTAATGTAATAAAATCAAATAGAAACTTTGTTGGATTATATTTTCAGGAATCAACATTTAGAGGAAGAAATAGAAGAACTGGAGACTCTAGAAGAACCCAGAATTAATCCTTTAGAATTAATCGGACCACCTAGCTATGAAGAGGCGGTCCAAATGCCCAGACTGGCTCGCTCCATGGACGCTTTAAACGAGATCTCCATCGAAAATGGCACCTTGCGCTCCATAAATTCCGTGGATAATCTACGGACAAAGAAGAGGAGAGCGAGGAGACCTCGGAAACGAACTCAGAGCGAGGATGATTTGCTGAGACGAGAAGAACGCCGGCAGGAACGAATCAGAAGAGAAAGAAACAATTCTAGCGGAAACATCTGCGACACGGATCAATCGCACAATACGAATCCCAGGAATCCTAGGATCTCCTCGGCGCGCAAAACCAGGAGGCACAGCATCGTGGACGAGGCCATCGAGTCCAGTAGCAGCAAGGACAGGCCAAGGCCGCAGACTCCCTCCTCGAGAAGAAGAAAGAGGAGACAGGTGTTCAGAACCGAGCATGTGACCGACGACGAAGATTCTGACGTCCAAGTAATGACGTCCAACCGGTCCATTGTCATCAAGGAACTCAAACGAGAACCCAAGAGCGGTTATAGAGAATCATTCGTGGAACGCGAAACTTAAACTACATGTGAATTATTTCACGACGGATAATAAATTTTTTAGTAGATTTAATAAAAATATAGAAAAGAAAAGGGAAACGCAAACTTTTAACATTTTCGTTGCACTTATCGGACATATGCAATGAACATCGTATATTTCGCACACGACGGGAATCTTTAATTTTAAATCTTACTTTATCGACACGAAAATCATCTCTAAGTGGTATGATCTTATTTGACACTAAATCAACAGGGCGGGTGCGGATTCATGATAACATACGTCAGTTGCGCGATAACGTTACGACAGTTTTATCTCGTCAAACCGGTTTTTTTCTCTCGTGTTAAATACACATATTGCCCAAGGAAGATTAGTAATCAAGGAAATGACAAATGAGACGACTGGCCAATAGTAAAAGGTTTACTCTGAAGAAGAGCAAAAGCGTCTTCCTGGAATACTGTCTCCTCCAGTCGAGATTCTCCAGCTATAATAGCATAAGATTACCAGCTTGAATATTGCGAAGACGTGCCGATCTCAAATTACAGTAATTTCTTGTCAATTTAAAAAGAATTAAGATGCTGCGAGATTACAGTTATGAACTAATCGTCTATCATGTTACTGTATCATTTATGGGAATGAGAATGGCGGTGAAGAGCAATACGCATAGATTATAAATAATTAAATTATTAAATATTTAGCTTACATTCAGTAATACCCTCTAAATGATTTATTAAATACTATCGCTACTATGGTAAACACTTCACAAATTCTTCTATCACTTAAATGACGTTGCCTTATTTAAGAAAAAAATATAAAAACTTAAGATTTTTAAATTTGTGAACAGATATTAAAAATACATTTATATCTGTACAGGATATATTGGCACGAAAAGAATACACACATGTATTTGCAGTTTCTACTTATTTGTTTCTTCCTTTGCAAACGTCGGTAATTGTGATATGACTTGTCTTACTTTCTTTAAGTGCAAAGTGTCGTTGGATAATTATATAACTGATATATATAAAAGTAATCGTGACAATGTCGATGACGTGTTTGCAAGAAGAACAAAGTGAGGTCAAAGATTATACCGGTGACGCACGATTAAAGTAAATGATGATATCAACAAAATAACACTCTCTTTTATTTGATCAAAGGCTAAACATATAAATAAAGTCTTACAATCTTCACTGAGCTGCTTATTTTATAGCTATAGGTAAAATGATACGACGATACGTATCGTTTGGGACAAGTATCGATCTAACAGGGTTCGCGCTATCTTAAAATTAAAATCATATACGTCTACGACAACATTCGACACATTTGACTTAAAGAATCATACGTAGAAGATAATCGATAATATGGATAATATGATAACACATTGCGGCGCCCTTTGTCACACCACGCACAGCTACATGACGCGTCCATTTAACAGATAATTACGCGATCGACGTCCATGAAGTGCCATCGCACTCGTACACGTCTGTCTGTCCGTCTCTCTTTCATGGATCCTCACATTAATTTGCGCCGTGCGTAATGAATAAATATATTAATGCACATGAAAATACAAGTCGCTGCCTTTCCGAAAAGTGATCCTCTAAGGTCACAAAGAGATCGCGTCCTTCTATAAGAGGATTAATAGTGATAACAGGATATTACTTATATATATATATATATATATCTTCTCTGACGTGAATAATGAATTCTACTATATTAGCAGTATTGTCAAATCATTCATCAATTCGCTCGTGACACTTGGTGCCACAATCCCGTACTATAACCTCCGTCCCAAAGGTCGTTATTCATCAGCAAACTCTACTTCTTATTGAATTACAAATTCTTCGCGTCCACATCGCGCACATATGGACATGTGGTATACGTAAAACGCCACGCTAAAAACTACGAGATACGCGTTATCGCGTTGGCAAAACAATCCGTGGTTCTATCGAAATGCGGCGTAAGGCCGACGGAGTATATCAATCTTCGATGATACGTGCGTAGAAAAAAAAATATGGCAGAATTGGAATGCTCATCGATGCCTGACGTTCGGCGATCATATTTTGTCGATCCACAATTCTCAAAGGATCCTCGCGATGTGATCTCGCGCGGCAACGAATACCGCGACGGATTCTCAAGGTTCTCGCTCTGGCGCTCGTAGGACACGCGAGATCCGTTAGGAAGACTGACTAGTGTACTATAGTGTTAACTTCGAACGTTACTCCATCTGCGCATTCCTACGCACATGGCATAGATACAGAATGTTCAGAGATATCGCGTATTTTTGTTCAATTGAATTAAGAGAAAAGATGATTGGTTTAATAAGAGAATTATAAACGACAAGGATCGTAAGATTTTAACAAGAATAGATTTTCAGCAATTAAATAAGTAAATATCTTTCAATTTTAGATGAAATGAATTTTATTAAAAATAAATTTTTATTTGAATTTAGGTTGCCGAAATTTAATGTTAAAAGACATATTTAGATAGGATAATCATAAATGAAAAAAGTCACACAATATCCGAGAGACATTCTGTACCGTGCATACATTTTTAACAAATATATACATATAGCATTCGTGCGTCCAATTGTTCACCGAAACGGCCCAAGGTTACACTCGTGCCTAAGCTACGAGATACTTTTCCCTTTCGCACACTTTCAGCTTCCTGCCGAAAACAATAACAACTCTGCCAGCGTGTACGGTCTCTGACTCAGTAATTTTTCTTTATCACGAAAATCCATCGCGAGGAGTCCCTCTGCAGCTCTAGGAACAACATTATCATAAACCACACCTGGAACACGTCGCATTTATCGTGAAAAAAATCTTTTCTCTCATTTTTGCACCACATCGTTCGTCTCTCGATTTCTTTCCTTCGACAGACGAGCACATTGGTCGATATAGTGTTCGTTATCTCGCGTAGGCTCTGTCCCTGGGTCACTGCTTCATGGCGTCTTGACTAGATTCTCACCAGCCATCGTTCGCGTAATGAGTATGGGCGTCTTTGGCACACTGTCGGGATTCTCCTGCAGGGTGATCTTCACCCTTTGAGCCCCGGGGCTGAGCGGTGGCCCATTGAGTTCCGAACTGTGCGTCGTCGGTCCGTTGATCGTCGCCATCGTTGAAGTGGAAGGCTGCTGATTCGTTCTGTCTTCCAGAAAATTTCTCTTCAAGGAATTCACGTCCACGCGAGGCCTCTCTTCGCTCACCTCGTTCTCCTGCGAAATCATATTCTCGTCTTGCGAATTCAATAGCTTTCTGGGTGGCTTCACTGGTTCCGAATGATCGGCGGTACCATTGAGACGTGGCGTTTCTTGCGTCTTATAATCGTCATCATAGAGCTCGTCAATCTTTGCGTCGTCTCCACCGGGATTGGTCTTCATGAGAGGAACGCTCTCATGATTGGTTCCGTTGGAGGCGATCTTCTCCTCTTTCTTCGGCTGGGTCGAATCGCCATGCTCTACTAGAGGCTTCTGTATCTCTTTCATCTCAGTACCGGTCTCTACATCGGGTGGTTTCCTCTTTCTACATATCTCGCCTCTATATGCGGCAAAACCAATCAGCGCAGCCACGATGGCGAGCAGAACCGCCAAAACAACGTATGAGCCCATACCTTTTTTAGACTGTTTAGGTGAGGATATTTCGGCTTGTTTATCATTAACATTCTCTATGACATTACCAGATTTAGATTTGTCATCCGTGTCAGAAGATTTTAACACTTCCACATCATTGGCAATTAAAATGGGCGATATAACTTTCGTGGCAGTCTCAGTGGTGATTTTATCGATATCGGATTCAACTGAATGGCTTTCAACTGGTACGATCGGCTCCTCAGTAGCCAGTTTATTTACGGACACCGTTATAAATTCATCTTCGTGAGAATCCAAAGTCTTTGACGTAGTAGTCGCGGAAGATCCCGTAAAACCATCAAAAAATATACTAAATAAGTTAGTTGGATAACTAAAGATCGATAAGCCTTCATCGGTACTTTCTTTTTCAGTATTTTCTTCTTCGTCATAAGGTTTCCAAATACCGGATCCTTCCCCGGAACCTTCATCCCCGTCACCGGAACCTCCGGTTGGATAGAACAAGGCATCCTTAACATCTTCCTTCTTTCGTGACATCTCAGTTGTTGATTCTTTCTTCTCTTCGCTATCGAAGAAAATTTCTTCGTCCTCAGAGCTACGTTGCAAGGAATTCGTTGTTGTATCGATAGTTTCTTCCGTGATCTCCGTTGATTCTTTCGAAGAAAGAGACTCCGTCGTGGAATCCACCAGTAGTACAGTAGGAAAAGGTGTCTCGACTTCTAACTCCTTTAGTTTTTCCGTACTGTTCTTGATTTCTACGTACTCGTCATCTTCTTCCTCCTCTTCGCTAAGCTCATCCAATATGTCTCCAGAGCCCAGATCTGTCCCGGATCCCTCCGCCTGATCATTTTGCATTTCACGATCTTGCTCCTCAAAACTGCAGATGATCGCCGCGTTCAACTTCATCAGTGACATGCCCTTCATGTTGCCGGGACCTGCACACACAATCTTCTTTGATACCGTCACGTCCCTCTGCACGATAAGATCACGGACTTTCAGGGTGGCGCAGTTGCACTCGAATGGATTACCGTAGATATCTAGATGTCTAAGGTTCTTCAGGCGCATCAACGCGGGTGGCAATTGCCGAATGGCATTCTTCCGTAAATTCAGGCTTCGCAGATGGATCAGACCCTCCAAAGAACCCAGTTCCAGGTTCTCGATGCTGTTCTCGCCAAGATTAAGACTTTTCAATTTATTTAAAGTTTGAAAACTTCCTGGCTCGATTTTTATCAGATCGCCATTGGATAGATCAAGATGTCTAAGATTGGTCAAATTGTCGAAGAGACCCGGGACTAAAATGTCTTGTGCGACCGGTACGCTCAAAATCTCCAGATGGTGCGTCTCGATGTGCTCGAGGTCCTCCAGCTTGTCGCACCATGCTGCGGTATTGTTCTCCAGCTTGCAGAGCCCGTAGGTCCATCCCGAATGATACAGAAGGATCAGGAGGAATGACAGCAGAGGCGGTGCCGCCTGCATCTTTCAGTCTGATTTACCTGCAAAAAAGAATCGCATGTGGGTATACTCGCCGACACGCATGTTTGTCGTTGTTTGTGATCGAACAATGAGGTTTTGTGTTACACGATGAATATTCATAGTGAAGATAGGAATAAATCACGCACCACGCATCTCGAAGATAAACGGATTACTTAGCTCATCATGTCAGGGACGCGTACGAGCGCGTCGCACGGCAATGAGGCGCGCTCGTAATAATGATTGTTAATATTTTCAAATGTTACACTCTGTACATTGTGGTACCGAAGTGAACGCTACCGAGATGGCCGAGATGGCGAGACTATCAAAAGGAGGTCAACGGGGAGGATAGAGAAGTGGACGTTCAAATCGGATGCACGCACGCGGTATATCTTAGAAGATATCAAAGATAAACAATTATCAGAAAGTATGATATGGAGAGTGCAATAACGAAACGTTATTTATCGTGTATCTGTTTTTCGTTACGTTTTCGTAATGGTAAGCGAGACCTGTTACTTATTACTATTACGTTGTACTTTGTAATATCCTGTAATCGTATACACGAGAAAGATCGCAATTTTCACGGTCTATTCAAGCGGACCGTGAACGAAAGTAACGAAAGTAAAACGTCCCGGCTGGCTTCGCACAAGCAATGATTATCTAATGCCTGTAATTAGTACACACGCCCAGGCCGGCGGTAATTACCACTACTGTTGTAGCACCTGCAAAACATCCAAGTCGATTCTAGTCGCTCGTGATATGTTTGATACTCAATTACGTCGACCGAGTTGAAAGCCGATGGTAAAACGCTGATAAACCGCCCGACCATCCAGGCAATTCTTATCAGGGTTATTATTATCATTGCCTCGGCAATCGTCAATATGGGGTTGCAGATAAGAGACGTTTCAGTTTGCACGATGGAGGAAGAGTTAATCCGTGAAAAGGTACAACGATCATTAGTTTTAACATTTCTGTTAGTCGTCGTAATAATTTATCTCGTTCGGTAAGCAGATCGTTGGCAATATACGTGCTCATACGTAATGCGTTGTAGATTACAATACTCTCCGACATTACTCGAGAATTTCTATTTTTTTCTATTTTTATCACCTAGTCACATTTATATTAGTAAAGTGGTTTCTTTAATCTTTACGTAAGAAGTTTAATGTAAGCAAATCCATGCACACTTATCCATACAAAATCTATATACATTCTGAGATTTGAGATAGCGGAAAACCTGTTTCGCTCTGGGAAGGAATTTTCCAATTATTCATTACGATTCGATGAAAGATACTCTGCTTGAATCAATATGAAACGATTATCTACAGGTAAAAAACATGAGCGTCAGAATTTCATGTAAGATAGCCATTCTGAGGTGGCCGTTTTGTAACTAACCGCTTAGAACGAGCTGGGATCGTCATCGGGCTGAATGAAGAAAAATTTATCGGTCGGCAAGCCTCTCTTTTTTTCCATTTCAAATACCTCGTTCGTATGTTAAAACATCACGACGGGAGTTCTATACATAGAAAGAAACGGAGGGCGAGCAGTTTCGGCATGTCATTTGCATTATTTTGCATACTGTGTCCGCGGTGTCGGCGTAACGTCATTGACGTCATTTCCCATCTATAAACAGCGAGTAAAAGAAAGAAGGAAAGGCGATGGTTCGCGCGCCGACATTCGCGCAACGACGTGCATTGAACTCGCATGACCGATCGTAATCACGTTAATTGACCGGCTGCATACACGATTCGACGATGCATTTCTTGCGCGTTAATAATTCTGACCGCGGGATTGAAATAAACGTCCCTCGCTATCAATGAGATAAGGGAAATAATGGATTTCGTTGTGCTTGTTAAAGATACCGATAACCCGATACTGATTTCTTATTGTTGCATAATCTGCGAGCACGGAATCACGCTCTCTCACTTCACAATTAATGATTAATCACGTAATTAATAAAAAAAAAAAACATTAAAAAGATGAAATTAAATTAATATTAATCGGTAGTTTATTATCACATAAATATTATTTTATGCGATAATAAACTAATATTACATAAGAAAACAACAATCAACTAGTGAATGAAGCGGAAAGATCATATTTTTTATATGTGGAATAAATAATTCTGGTGCTGAGACAACTTTAGAATTTTTCATATAAAATGTTAATGAGTTTCTCTGCTTTCCAATTCTTATAGGAAAAATAAAAATTTTTAAAGGCAGAACAATATATATATATATATATATATATATATATATATATATATATATATATAATTTTTATGCAGACTAACCTTTTAATGATGCAAAATATTGTAACTTGCACACTTTTAATTTTTAATTTATTCGGATTTTTAACGAAAGCTCTGAATCAAAAGGGATCTATGTTTCTTTTCGACTTAATATATTAATTATACATTCGAATCAATGTAATATTCAAGATCAACGTATGGCACAACGTCAACGTAAGACGGAACGTTTTTACACGATCACGTAGGTGGAAGTTAGGTCATGGTCAATGGATTTGAGATCTCAGGGGACGATCCCGTGCTTCAGACATGCTCCACACTTTGTACAATATATGGGTATCTATATGTGTGTGAGGTTTACGAAGAGCTACTTCCTGTAATTCTACGAACGGTGCTTTCATATGAAAGTGATATGGAATACGAACGAGTCATGGGTACGGGTAATGACGCGACAATTTTTTTCAAGCTAATAAACCTGGTTTCTGAAAAGAAACTCCCACATTTGTATAATCAAAAATATTGATGACAAAATTTTGCATCCTTCCTTTGGCAATAAATACTGTTGAAAGTTGCATCAATGCAACTTTCGTTTACGTTTTGCGAAAGACATTGATGATGCTAATTGTAAATACAAATAAGGGAGCTAATTGCAGAAAGTCGGCCAGTAAACTGATATGTCAATTTATTACTCGCGTGCAACTAAGTACAATTTTCAGCTTTAAATAATAATAATCCACGAGAATCAGTCAAATATTAATCATGATAAAATATAATATTATAAATAATTATATTTAGCCTAATTTTCCGTATTACACCTAATATAATATTTTTAATCGATCACTTACGACTCGTTTGTTCAGACGTGATTTCGGCAACACCGTGATTTCGATTGCATCTGTAACAAATAAGAAAGTCGAATGAATTTATTAAACATTCTCTTTTCGATTGAGCGTGATCTAACAGCAGAAAAGACGTTGATGTATCGACGAGATCGATGATCGTCCGAACCGTCAAACGAATCGAAAATAAATTATACCGCTGACGCGAACAAACGGCAAATTAATTCATAATGATCAATCGCGATATTTTCTATTTCCTTCTAACGTACACATATAGTTCAGCAAGCACATTTCTCCTTCGTTTTTTTTCTTCACGTCGTTTCGCCACTTATCATTACGTCTTACCATTTGTCTCTCTCGAACGGCATGTGTAATCGCTTTTATCACATCACGTTATAAGTGACAGTGTGCGAACAGTGTGGAAAGTTGTTTGTGACGGTTTCACGCAATGTAACCGCGGTATTATTTCGCGAGGAATTTCACATGTTTGCATTCTCGGCCGGCGTGTTCCCGCCTGCCTACCTAACATACCTATACGCCGCAACAATTTGCTCCCGAGACTCCCGTGTAGATTTTGTTCGCCGAGGCATTAAATCGCTCGCCCGGATTTTCTTTCGCCGCGCCGCGATGGTCACACTTTCGTTCTTATCCCCCTTCTTCCCGCTCTCCCCGCAGTTGCGCAAGATTCGTCGTGGATTTTTCCCCGATCCTGTCCTCCCGAGTCCCCGCACGTAGCTGACTCACTTTCAAACATGAGATTTCTAGTCCTTGACTTTCCGGCCCTGAATAGCCGCAGCGTTATTATTACACGGCGGTAATTATTATCATTACAACACACACACGTCTATTTTTCCCCCCCCCCTCCTCGGGGACTTTTTCTTTCGGCCCGCATCCTTCTCGGTTTCGTAATTGTGTCGTTGCAAAATGTCCCGTGCGTGTGCTCGTGTGCTAGATTCGGCATGCCGTTTCTCCGGTTCACGGGGGCAACGTCGATTATACCGCTCGACGTCGTGGTGTTACGTACATTAATGAGGCTTATCACTGACACTAAATATCATTTCTTCGTCTTAATCGGCCATATATTCGCAAATAACATGTTGTTACATCGTCAATTATGAATAATTGAGCTGAAATGGCTGAGATTTTTTTTTTGTCATCAATCAATTCTACGATGCATCTCAATCAAAACTTCCTGTTGTTCACCTAAGTTTACTTGTAAATCTATATTTCTATTTCTAACTTTAAATTTCTCATAATTGATGATCTCTAAAATATCTCTCTTGTTTAAAGAAAGATCAATCGCGAATTCAGAGGACGCTTTGCGCGAATATATATAAATAAATTTGTGTAAAACTGCGATCGCGCTAAATCTTCGCGCGAATTCAGCAGAAAATTCGTAACGAGCGATCCGCCGGGCATGCAGGCCTGGTTTGGTCACGGCTCGCTTTTTGCCAACTCCGTTCTTAACGGTACCGACACGTCCTCGTGGTCCAGTTCAGCAAGGAAGCCCGGCGATTCGAGGAGGTTTCATTCCGGCAGGTCATACACCTCTGGAGGAAGTTAAAGAGTAACTGCGGAAATATCGCAGTTGCTTCGATTTATATCTTGATTCTGATTACTGATGATCCTTATTTATTCTAACTTAATCTCTCATTAACTGGCTTCTCATGCAAAAGTAATGCTACAGCATAAGGACATCGATCTTCCTTGATTGTATTCCTGTCAATGGTCCCTCGTGTAACAGTTATTCCATTTTCCATGAGATTTATTAAAACCTTAAATAATATATTTATATATTAATTGGTTAGTGGATTTCAAGCCATTCAAGAATTAACTTACTTTAAAGCGGACCTAACAAGTGCATAATTATGAACAAACGATGCATTTTCTGAAGCGTCGTGTATATAAAAATATGATTAATCATGCGCGCATGAATGGACTATTATTAACGGGGTAATATCGCACTGTTGCTGTTAACGAACTCTCTGCTATAATAAAATCGCATATCATATGGAATGATACTTCGTGCGTAACGGCACTCTATTTTAACTGATCAAGCCGTTTTATATCTCGGTGAATTAATCAATTATCTGCATTTAATTCTATTCTCAAAAGAGAAAAACTCGAGAAATAAATCAGATAGGAAAGTAACAAGTATCAATCATGCGCTCAATCAAATGTGAATGCAATCGGTTTTATCGGTCATTTTTCTAACATTTTATGATAATATTTCTGTGTTCTCTTATAATATCTTTCTTTCAATCTACACATGATACATTCTTCTGTCTGCAGTTTAATTTACAACATTAGTCTGTTATCATTTATGGCGTAAGTAACCAACGATACTACGTCACCAATCGATCATAATCTATTTAAATTGAACTTTGATCGTGAAGTTAATGGCATATAATTGTTTGTCAATAGAAGAAAAGTTTCAGTTAAAAAAATAGCGATATACTTTGTTTATTTTCTCTGATTATGAATTATAAATTTTTGTCAACAAATTTGTTTGTTATCAATATATAGCTTAAATCGTCAAGGAAGAAAATTTTTTAAAGAAAGAACTTGTAGAGAGAGGAAGATAGGAAATTTATTAAATAAGTTAAAAGTAAAATATGGATCTGAAGAGAAAACATTAAGAATACGAATGTTATCTTAAATGAAAAATATTGTGTTGAAGACATAAAGATTTGTACCCTGAGCACTTCTCAACCTTTTGTTGATTGCTTTAAACTACATTTAGACTGACCCTCGACAATGCTTGCCAAGAATTTCTCACTGGATCGAATCTGCAATTTTGTTTATCGATAAACAAGCCAAACCTCTTGTTCGCTATTAGAAACTCGTTTACATCGAGGATAAACCAAACCGCCTCGAGAAGCCAGTTAAGGTAAATGTGTCTTAATGCACGCACCAATATGTGGACAGGAAGAACTTAGAGCTCTCGGTTTCGAGAAAATTAGAAATACCGTAACGAATTTTGCAAAAAATCCCAGAGTCACGCACGTTACTTTGTAACGTCGTTGATGGACGATGATAACGCGGTATAAATGAAACGTTAATGGGTTCCGGAGCAGCCGTACATGTATTTCGCAACATCGTTGTTATAGCTCGACAGATATATCTGAAATGTATTACGTGTCCTGAAATGTATTACGTCTCTTCCTGGAATGTTTTTTTTTGTAATTGGCATTACTTTCTTAATAAGAGTTTCATTTTTTACGGATGGCATTTCCCCATACCGCTATAAGTGAAACGAAAGTCTATATTGCTGAATGATGGAAAGTTATCTCATAAATTATAAGTTATTATGACAAACGTAATTTATATGCAATATGTGCTCTTTCTCTTTCTTTCTCTCAACAGTGATAAAGATCTTATTAAAGATCGCAAAAAGTAAAAAAAAAAAAAAAAAAAATAACAATCCGAAATAACAACGGTGCTGGAGACCACACAAGGCGGAATCGTCCTTTTTACGTGAAGTATCGGTATCGAGCATTTGTGTAAAACGACGTTAACCAGTTTTAACACGCCTAAAGATCACGCTGGAGGTATGCGTCAGTGAACGATAGGTCAATCAACCCGAGTCAATCGCGAATAACAAGATTCGCGCTGCTAATGAGTCCATCTAAGACTGCCTACGACCGACTCGATTAGTGCCGATCGATCGATTTGCGTGCACAGCACCGACAGATACGAGACACGATCTCTCTGTCAGTTTGCGTAAACTTCAGGAAGTGATCGCAAAAGAACGATAGAATTCAAACGCGCAATGGCAGGCGATGGCCATTAACGCTGATGACAGGATTAGATGTGGGAACAGGACTTGAATCTATTGATCCTGAAGCGAATATACGCTCTTATACATCAACATCTCTATTTATCTCGCATTATCTGAGATTTCTTCATTTTCTTTTCCCTCAAATAAGATGAAATCAACGACCTCAAAACGTGAACATGATGACTTTTGAAATGAAAGTTAAGCTTATCGTATTCTTAAGAAAAATATCTATATAAAACATAAAAATTGTTTTGTATTTAGGCTCGGGCGAATCATTCTACTTCTTATAATGTGCGCCGATTATTATTAGATTGCAAACACCGTGTCGTAACACAGTTCGCTATAATTTTTTCATAGATTATCTACAGCGAGCTGTTGTTTCTTATCGCGTTAACAGAACGAGGACGATCGCGCGAATGATTCAAGATCGACATCGTGCGAGGACCATATGTGGTGGTAGCCATGCTTGAAATAATATCCATTGCCTACCAATGGAGGCAATTAGGAACAATATCGCCGTGCTGACATATATTTCATGGCGAGACGGCAGGCACAATCGTCCCAGACGTCGTTCAAAAGCCAATTCAGATGAAACGGCATTTCTAACGTGTTTTCTAACAAGTCGTCGTACTAGTAGAGTTGAACTGGCTTCGTTACTAGTTAACAGTCTAAACATAGCGTCTTGTTAAACATTAAAATTGCAACTTCACTGTATGTTCTCTTGAATATGAAAAAAATTTTCCATATTCAATATCAAGAAGTTGAATCTATATCAGATATGAGATTTATCAGATATCAAATTTGCCACAAGTAAGATTTCAGACCAAACCAAGTTTCTTATGTCAATTCGTGCCTCTTGTGAAATTATCATTTCATCACATGCGATCGATCATTATTTCTTTGCTTGTATTGTTTTACGCAATACCACACAATATTTTAATATCTCCATCTTTTAAAATTGTCAATAGCTTTAGCTTGTCTGCAGCATTTTATATGGGATTGATTAATCTTGTAAGTCTTTTGCTTAATGTTTAAATTAAAACAAGTAGAAATGAAAAATTTATATTTTAAAAATATTCTCTTAATTTCAAGACAATAGCTCGCATTAATTCCTTGTAGGATTTTAAAATCGTCATACATTAACATGTAAAGATCTAACCTTTATTTCCTTTCAATGTAAGTCTTAAAAAAAACAGATGAGTCACGAATTGAATAAAAACGCTTAGTTTTATTCACTACCAATACAATTTTTCAATTAGAAAAAATATCATTTAA